GCTAAAAGCAACAGCAACCAAAACATGAAAAAAAGAAAAGTGCCTTGCTCAATAAAATAAATACAATGACATAAAACAAGATGGCTAAAAAAAGCTATACAAAAGTATCACAGAAGTATGGAAAAATGGCGAAAGCAGAAGAGCTCAGTTAATCAAAAATCTAAGTGTAAAACAATAAAGAGCTAAACTCTGACAGATAACTGCAGGTATAGTGTTGTGAGGTCATAGACTTCCTGTCTCTTTCAGTATTTACGCCCAATGAAAGTGACAGTTTCATTGTGTGGTCAGCCAGCAGCGCTAATTATAAACAGATTATATTCACCACCAGCAAGTGATAAATGACTGCAAAGGTGCTGTAAACAGCATCCAGTGTTTCAAATGATTATCAGTTGTGCAGATAAATGCAGAGGTTCTGCAGTTCTCTATGAGCGACATGCATGCAAGCACATCATTTCTTAGGACATTTTAGGTAGAGTGCTGGAGCTCAGTCATTAGTTTGAGGAAGTCTGATTTGACTTTCTGGTCCTTAGCAGTCTCTGTAGTTTCTCCAGCCATCCAAAAAAAAAGATAGTAGACTATATTATATGCAGCTTGCTTTAAAGCATTCATGACACAGCTTGTTGCAAAGAAAGAAAAAAAGAATATCACCAATTTTGGGTTATTTTGGTTTTAAACTGGCTGAAAGCAGCCAGCAAAGGGGCCTAAATAACATAATCAGTTGAATTAATTAAAAGAACAGTAACGTATGCTATGAAATGATCAGGGTGCACAACAGCATATATAGTCTTTAATCTGATTTTTAAATATGATTTCTTAGTTAATGTTAAGGGGCGATCGTGGCTCTAAGAGTTGGCAGTTCGTCTTGTAACTGGAAGGTTGCTGGTTCGAGCCCCGACGTTGTGTCCTTGGGCAAGACACTTCACCTACCGCCTACTGGTGATGGCCAGAGGGGCCGATGGCGCGATATGGCAGCCTCGCTTCTGTCAGTCTGCCCCAGGGAAGCTGTGGCTACAACTGTAGCTTGCCTCCACCAGTGTGTGAATGTGAGAGTGAATGAATAGTGGAACTGTATAGTGCTTTGAGGACCCCGAAAGCGCTATATAAATGCAATCCATTATTATTATTATTACTGCACCAACTGATAGGACAATTCAGCAACTGCTAAATACCGCTTGTCAACGAGTCACCGCCTTGTTTCGTAAAAGGTGGAAAGCAGTGCAACAAGGGTGTGTGAACGATTGTCCAACTTTAACTGTCAGTTCCTTTTTGTCCAACTCTGAAAAAGTACTTTGCATGTTAATGATTTAGAGCTGAATTCTACAAAAAGCAGGTCTTTAAATCAGCAAAATAAAATGTCTCAGTTACCCAAATAAGCTCTGTAGCATTCAGCATTCACCTGAATTTTCTTTATCACTTTACAGATTGCCTGGGGAGCATGTGCGCTTGTGCTAACAGGTAACGTAGTCATCTTTGGGACGATCCTGGGCTTCTTCCTGGTCTTTGGATCCAACGATGACTTCAGTTGGCAGCAGTGGTAAAACGGCAGCTGGAGGGGACCTTAGTCTGAACTGTTTTTATTAGCGTTACTATTATTATTATTATTATTATTATTATTATTATTATTATTATTATTATTATTACTACTACTACTGTTATGGTATTACCGTTCTTGGTTCTTGTTGTTATTTATATGATGACCGCCCATCCATAGACTCACATCAAACCAGTGCAATACTTTTTTTTTTTTTTTACCACTCACATCATGCTGAACTGACACAAGTGAGATGGAAAATGCTGACTTTCAGTTGGATTTTTTCCCATTTTTAAGTTTTACTCTTTCTGACTTCTGTGCTGTGAGTCTTTGTTTTCCATCTTTTTGTATGTGTCCACTTTTATTTAAAGGATTACAAGCTGGTGAACAACTTTTACAGTGTAGTATCTTTGAAGATGTGTTAAAAAGATTTCAAAATGAATGACCAAAAGGATACGGTCAGTAATGTCTGGCCTTCTTTTTGCAATTAAAAACACTGGAAGGAGCTTCTTCTTTGTGAAATTAATGTAAGTCAGCTGGAAATTGAGGAAAAATCTGCACAATATGAGCCAAAATTTCATCAGACACGTCTCTGTTTCATACAGGTCTTACTGGATTTGAGTGTCAACAGTTCAGCTGATATAATGCAGGCTTTTCTCAGCTTTCAGTCAGTAAAATGTGAACAACACTAAGCTTGAGTGTTCTTGTGAAAGCAGCGGGCTGTTATTGCCACCAACAGTACCTAACATGTGAACTCCATTATGTGTAAATGTGATATAAATCTTTCTCATGACACAAAGTGAGGAGGTGGTGTTCAGGAGCAGTGTGCAAGGATTCATTTTAAACTCCCTCTCTATCACACCAGAGATCAAATTAAACTGACTTAGTGATTTCCCAGGTGCAAACATGGCGGGCTGCTTATTCACCAGGTTTTTCTGCATCCAATCGGCTCGTATTCCAGTTTGTGTGAGTTAGCGTTTTTCTGTTAGGTCAAGAAAGCATGCAAAGCCAGTAGCAGCCGCCAGCTAGCATTGGATTAGCTCAAGGACAGCAGCCTTGTTTGAAACTCGGCCAAGCTACCCTAAGAGCCAGGCTACTTATAACCGAGGCCAGTCATTTAACAGCCTTTAAGCTTTTGAACGCGACTCCCTCAAAGTGAAAGAATCCAGTGACTTTGCTCTGCATTCCAGCTCTGGCACATACTGTATTTCCTCACACCAGCAAAAAAACAAAAGAACAAAAAAACACACCGTATGATTAAAGTTTGAAAGTATTGGGTCGTGTAAAAAAAAAAAAAAAAGTCTGCATGCTGGTTTATGTAATCTGCTGCAGCTTCTTGATAATCAGGGCCTGCAGTCAGTCAGGTGCAGCGCCTCAGACTGCTGTTACATTTAAACTGCATTAGTAGTGACTAAACAAAGAGTAAAGCAAATGCTACCCTGTAAAGAACTGCAGTGACTAATGGAGCTTCAGGTGTGTTTTGTTGCTTTCTTTGGGTTTTTTCTTTTTGGTTTTTTTGTTGGTTTTTTTTGTAGATGGCACTGTTTGAAAATCTCTGAGTTTCTCCAGCCATTACAAGAATCAAATGTTTTGTTTCCATGCAAATTTCCAGTGGACATCTTCACACGTTTTGGCCGTCAATCAGTTTAATTTCCATATTTAAACCGTATTTTTAGGGTTTTAGAAGCACACATCCAGCAAATAAAACAGAAACAGTCCTACAGGAATTGTTTAGCATTTTGGTGAACTCGCTCACATGTCTTGCATATGAAGCTAGATTGATTGCTTATCATAAGAACTTTCACAGGAGGACATCTGGGCTCTGAAAGAAAACCAAGCCTGTCAACAAATCCAAAGTTCAGCATTAATCAGAATTTACTGAATTTGTTTTAATCCATACAACTAAAGTTTAAAGCTATTTGTGATTTTAGAGTTAGTTTTTGAGCTCTAACTACTCTTTGTTAAGAAATATTGTAATTTTGTATTTTAGTTTAATTTCCCTTTACTTACAATTTAAAAAGTAAACTTTAGGTATTTTAGCAGAGCTGTGTTATAGCTGTGTACCCCCTTGTTCCAGTCTTTTATGGTAAATTAATTAGATCTGTATTTGAGCTTTATCAAATCAGACTTCGAGTATGACTCTTACAGTATTTCCTGCATTAGTCAAAGACCATCCAAGAAAATCATTAGGAACCATTTGAGTGACCCTCTGGCTGAAATATATGGGCTGACTGACCTTTGCTGGGTTAATTTGAACTTGTGATCACAGAGCTCATATTTCTGGCCTTCGTTCAGCCCTATGAAAGATACAAATATTTTTAAAAGCAACACATTGACGGCAGATTTTTGTTTTATGTTAAAAACATGCTTTAAAATGTACTACTGACATGATTTGTGCGTATCACGATGTAATCCCATTAGTCTGTGAGCCTGTCTGTGGTTCAGACAAGCAGGGTAACTCTGCGTGGTGTTTCTGGGACGTTTAGCTAAATGTGTCAAATGTTCTCAGATTTTCTGTTTTGTAGTCTGCCGTTAATTCTGAACTGTCAATCTGGCGTGAAGATGTGGGATTATTCTTAGGTTTCTCTCACAGATCTTTGAAGGATGTTGTATTTATTTATTACACTGGATGCTTTGTGTCAAGGTTCAACGCCATTTTCTATCTCAATTGTTATGTTGAAGATGAGGAAGTCAGCATGGTGGTTTCTTTTTTTTTTTAATAAACGCCATTTTTGAAAGTCTTCTTCATTTGAATGACTACAGATGCACTTAGCACAACTGTATCAGGTGGAGAGATGCTGATTTGTCTTCAGAGGGAATAACTGAGTGAGTTAGTGATGCTGTTAAGAGACGCTCATGAGTGTGAGGGGAAAAAAACAGCAAAAACGTCTCATAAACCCTCTGTAGGTTGCAAGAATAGTATTCTGATATGCTTAACATTTCCATAGTTACACGGACTGCGATGTCTTCCAGTGTCTTATTTTTGTCTAACCTACTGCACAAAATCCCCCAAATATCCAGTTCACTCTTGTGTAAAATAATAAAAAGAAGAAAGGTGTCACTCCTCAGAAGTTTGGTAAATATCTCCTGCTTGCTTTAATAACTTATCAAAAAAAATCTCCCAGTTAATTTTCTAGCTCTGCAGTTATGAGCACAAATTTTGATAGTGGCAGAACTTTTTGTTTCACTTTCACTTTTTATTCAGATGCATTCAGATAATCAAATCCTGATTGATGGCGATCTATGCGAGGTTAGCAGTGCTCCACATTGATCACTTTGTGGGTTCTTCACCTGCCTTTTTATGCCTGATTGTAGATCCAAAATGGAGATATCTGAGCCTCATAGCTATCTGCTACATTTGCTTTGGGACATGGTTCTCCATTATGGTGGAAAATGTGCAGATTGTCACCAGAAAAAGCAAACTAAATAAATAATAGTACCAGTTAATTAATTAAAATATCAACTCATTTTGATTATTTTTTTAAATAATTTCAATATTTTATTATTTATTACTTTCGTGTTCCTTTGCTGGGCTTGTAACAAGCTTTGCGGCTGTCTTCATTTTAAATATCCATGAATGTAAACGTAATCAATAAAATGTCTTCGATTGCACACACAGGGAAGTGGCTCTTAGAGGCAGTGTGTCTCCCTCTGGTGGCGGAAAAACTGGACTACAGGTTCGAGAGCGAACCACAGTCTCCTCTCGAGGTGTCCAGCTCTATTATATAAAGCAAGAGAAAAGATTTAGGAAAATAAAGACAAAGCGTCTCCTTTATGAGCACCAATGCGCCGTGGCCTCACACCGCTGAAGGTAAATTTGTCCTAAAAAGTTCAAGACTTCCTTTACATGACCTCAAATAAATGGAAAAGCTGTGTATCACTCACAGAGAAGGCTTTTCCATGTTGTTTGTAAAGTAAATAACAGTCAGTGACCTGAACACGCTCACCTTCACCAAGGCTGCACAGTCCTCTGGATTTTTTTACTTGCTAGCAACAAAATACTGAAAACAAAGTGAGCTCATCTCCATGGCAATATATCAAACCTAAACCAACACATAGACACTTTAACACAATACATTTGATAAAGTTCTAGATTTTAATGCACATTCATGGGATTTTCCTTTATTAAACCTCTTATGCAGTCATATATAATAAAGCACTAACCTGAGGCTGCTGCCATAAAGACTCCTGTCTGCTAGATACAACATGCCTGACTTCTTCAGCTCAGCCACTGCCTCGGGGGAGAACTTCACAACACAATTTGCATATAAAATAAGATCAGCCTTTTACTTTGTGCATGATGCAAACTTTAGTTTTCCCTCTTTATTCAAGTAGCAGGCCAGATGGCAAGAAAATCCACAGAGAGACACCGCAGCAGCACTCGCTTCCATGTTGTGACAACAGCAGCTTGTTTTAATGCTGGAACCTGCCCCTTGTAGGTGTGCACCAGGTAGGAGTCCTCTTTAAGACCTTCAGGTAAGGTTAAATATTGCGGGAAATGTGCACGCTATGTCCTCTCAGTCCATGTGGGACACACCCGCCCTGCCCCGAGGATCATGGGAAGGCGGTTTTAGGTCTTTCAGGGAGCAGATGAGACACAGATGATCATGAGGCGGTTTTTCCGAGCACACCGGGACGAGGACTTCAGTCAGATCCAGTATCTGACGGCCAAGTGCACCCGCCTAGCTCATGACAAAGGTAAGTCACAAAGGTCAAGACGGGTTCAGCTGACTGTTAATCTCTTATCTACATGAAAACTGCTAGTTTACTACAAAGGGAAAAAAAACCCTCTTCTCCCTTCAGGAAGGTTATAATGTTGAGTCCACTGAGGCGTTCAGATTATAGTCAAGTAGTAGATCAGATGAGCACCACACAATGTCTATACAGCTAACAGTTTAAATAAGATGGAAATTAATATTTAAAATGTCATCAGAACTGCAGAAAGTGCTCCCATCCTTTTCTTTAGTCAAAGTACTGCTGGCTTTATTATCATGCTTTGCTACAAGTCAAAGTCCTGCACAGAAAAAGTTGCTTAGTATAATTATGTGACTGTTGAAAATGGAAGTGCTGCTGCTTACTTATAGATTCATGAGTTTTTAAAGATTGTTTTGTTTGTAAAAATAGTAAAGGTAATAAAAAAATGCCCATCACAAATGTCCATAGTTAGACTTTACTAACAAATCTGAAAAATAAAGTAATAATAATTTGAAAAATGTCTTGAAAAAAGAAAGAAAAACTACATGAAACATGGCAAACATGTTTCAAAATATAAATTGATTAGCTTCAGTTTAGCTTAATTTCTAAACTTAATTTAGCTCAGTTTATAAAATCTATGCTGGTAATTTGATTTTACACTATGATAAAGAGCATATGCTGAATGCATATTAATACATTCTGCATTCCATGCACATCATCTCTGTAAAATTTATAGGAACAGTCTGACCTGCTGTTTCATCTATTTATATGTAAATATCTCTTTATGTGCTGTTGCATTGTGTGTGAGTGCATTGGAATCCACTTGACCCAGAGTCAAATTTCCTGAATGGAAAAACACGCTTGCCAAATAAACATCAAATTCAATCGAAGGTCACAGTGTTGTTAGAAGAACCACACATATTTTGCGTGAAAAGAAATACTTTCATCTTTACGCTGTCAAGTAAAATGTGACGAACTAAAACACTGATCTTTAATGAAAACAGGCTTTATTGCAGGGTCGCTGCATTAGTTTGAGCCCGGTGTTCTTAATAAACAGAAAACAAAGTGCATGTTTCCTGCAGCAGATTACACTTTAACAGAATCAACTTTATAGTCATTGTGCAACAGTTTCCAAGTCAATGCAGTCACAGTTACAGGGTATCTGACTAGAGCAAAGTTTATTTACAGAAATTTCTGGTAGTTTTTTTAAACATGTAATATAACTACAGTTTGTATTATCTGTTTTCATTGCAATCTGGGTCAGTGTTGGTCTACTTAAAGCCCATACTGTTACAATGCACATTTACCTCTGTAATAAGATGTAAGAGTAGCGAGTGGTGACAGTGGTGTTATCTACTTTTTTTAATTCAATTAAATTCCATGTTTAATTAAAATTTTATTCCATGTTATAAAATTAAAAAATATTGTAACAGGCTAAATCCTACATTAGTACTGATGTTAGTACTTGAGAGCCTTTCTGGTTGTGTGTTTATTGTTTTGGTATCATAAGGATTTAGAGCTGTACTCACATAAAAACTTAACAATGTAACTAAGTATATTTACTCAAGTACTGTATTATAGAAAAATATACTATAGAAAAAAAATCAGAATGTAAGTATTATACTCTACAAAATTGTGCTACATTACAACTTTTTACTCCTTAAACATATCACACACAAAAATAAGTACAAGCAAAACTAAAACAATCAGTGGTTAAAGTTCACATCTTAACTTTGTTTTTAAATTTTATTTATTTATATTCATTTATTCTTTAAGAAAATGTTAATCCTGAATAAAAAATAATTTGTTGCAGCAAAAGAAAATTACTGAGCAGCTACATCAATAAAACTACAACAATTCAGAGTTTACTTACTTAATGGTTTAAATATAGAACTTTTAAATAACTGAGCTAATTAAGTATAACTGACGGAATCGGTATTTTTAAGTATCAAAAGTAGTCTATGCAGTAGATTTTCTGCTTGGTAAAACTGATGTATCAGTTTTTAAGCAGAATTTATTTATTACATTAAGTGCATTAAGTATTATAATAGACATACTGGCGACTGTTATACAAACTACAGAGAAGTTCTGATACACTGTTAATATTTTATTTTTAAAATATGATTTATTTTTTAGTTAACTTACTTTTTTGTTTTTTATTTTTTTCCCGCACTAATCAGTTAATGAAATGAAACCATCAGTGATTAATGTCTTTGGAGTGATAAGTGTCTGCAGTACAAAATTGACTGTTTAACATTAAGTATTTAAGTAAAGTCAGCCACACAGTTACATCTAATGTGCTCAGTTTAACTAACTCTTCTTGGTTTTGTGGCCTCAGCGGTGTTGGACAGAGAGTTTCTGGTGTCCCGAGAGAGGGAGAGAAGGCTGCAGAATGATCTGGAAGCTGTGACCGCCCAACTCCTCAAGCAAGACCAGCTCAATATGGAACTCAGGATGAACCAGACCCAACTTATCAGCAGGATCCAGCAGCAGCAGGTGGACCGATTATGACTTATCTTTTACATGTAAACAGAACAAGGCTGTCTGCTATAAATGTTAAATTTATATATTCAACATAGATCAAATAGAGTAAGTTGCTAATAATTTACTAATAAATACACCTTAAAGTTTTACCTTCACATCTTACTTGCACAAAGCTCTGAGGTATTCGCTTTCAGTTGAATCTGTAATCACTGCCACTTCCCAATAGTTCTTGCTCATTCATACGCTACTCATTTCACAGTAGAAGCGGAAATAAATGACATTTTGCAGGATGTAAGTATTTGTTGGATTGTAATTGTTACTTGGATTGAAATTTAAACTGTCACTGAGTGTTGCTGCTGAGTGACATCTGTGTATATCTATAGATTTTCTTATTGGTTGGTTTCTGTACAGAAATCTCTCTCTTTTAAATATATTGCTTCTAGTTTAAGTCTAGTTTAAATCATTTAAACTAGACTTAAACTAGTTTAAATATTATTAAGAAGTAGTGGATAAATACAGCTTATGAAATGAATGGGAAACTTTCCATTTATCCACATAATCTGTACCTCTGACATCAACAAATCAGCTCATCTTTGCTGTCTGTTAGTTACAGTGGAATTAAGTTTACAGTAAATGTGTTTGCACATGGAAAATGCTGATGTTTTGGCATTGGTTACTTACAAACTGCATAAGTATGAGCTACAAGAAGTAAGAGTTTTGAACCACAGAGACATTTCACTGAACTAAAGAAATCTAATGAGCATCAAAACAGCTTTCTTGTCATACAGTTGTTTCAGCAGCTTATCAAAGTGGTCAGAAGGATTATGAGTCATTTTTCAGCATTTATCCCGTGTCATACTTAAAGGTTGCACAGTAACAAATTATCAGCCCTCTTAGAGACATCAGTGGTATTTGTTACAGTTTTGGAGAACTTGACTCCTTCACTTTCCCCTCAAAGACAGTATCAGGTTTGGGCTTGTCCCAAACTCTTTGACCTAAAGGTGTGTCTGATATCACTTATGCAGACTGTATTGGAGAATAGCATGTCTCCAGTGAGATTTGAAAAGGATAGGAAGTGCTGAAGTGTTCATGTGAGCAAATCTGCAGTATTCTCAGTATGTCCGTGTCTTCCCCGCAGGACCTGGTGAACTTGCTTCGGCAGCGCGTGGTCCTGCTAGTGGAGGCGAGCTCCCGGGATGCAGAGCTACTGCGGCAGGTCGGCGCAGAGCTGCTTTGCCTGCAGAGCTCTGAGGTGAAGCTGGAGAGCCTGGTGGAGGAGCTGCAGGCTGAGGCCCAACACAGAACTGAGGTGGCAGAAAATCTCCAGACAGAGCTGTACGCTGAGGCCCAGCACAGAGCTACACTCACTGAGAGCCTCCACGCAGAGCTGCGCAGGTAAATCTTCAGTCTCTCCAGTATGACAAAACACGGAATCATGTTTTCTTTCTTTACTTTACACAGTACAATTTGGTTTACATTTACTTAGAAAAACTTGCAGAGGTAAGCCGCAAAACACACAATGATTTCATGTAATATAGGAATACATTTTTTTAACTTTAAGTTAATACTCTGACATGCTCCAAAACAGACGCACATTTAGACAGTGCAGGGGTTCTGAGACAGGAAAGCACCTCCTGATGTTTGATGAAGACAGTAGTTTTGCATCTTTCTCACGTTGTTACATTTTCTTTGTGCCATTTTTATATTATATTAAGGTATCTTTGTATTAACTTTTAAATCTCTTTGTGACCATTTTGCATCTCCTGTGGTAGTTTTGCATCTCTCTGTAACTGACACCAGCTAGTTCTGAAACAATATATACGTTTTGTGTCTCTTTGTGGTCATTTTGTTGCTCTTTGTAATTGTTTCAAAATTCTTTGTTGTTATTTTTAATAGAAATCTTGGATTACTTTTTAACTTTATTTTCTTTTTGTGGTTGTCTGGAGTCATTTTTGCCATTTTTAACATTCTAACATTTGACTTTAGATGTAAGAGGCTCAGGACCTCACGACTACTCTGGGCTTTAAAGCCGTCATTATAATGCTGTGTTCTTACTTCGTATTCTAAACAAAAATGGACTAATCCACTAATTACTGTGGGTGGAACAGTGGTACAGTGGTTAGCACTGTCACCTCACAGCAAGAAGAGTTTTAAACCCCGTCTGGGACCTTTCTGTGTGCAGTTTCCATTTTTTTAAAATTGCAAAGCTCTGGAGAAACTAAAAGAGCCGCCTGTCCTCTGTATTGCTGAATTGTTAATGACTTGATTAAAACCTTATCGACATTAAAACATACACAATGAACATTAACCCAGATAAGGCTGCAGACAGAAAAAGAAAAAACATTAAAACGGTTGACTTTTGATTACCATCTTGTGGAAACTGAAGCCAAGTAAAGCTGTCACGGGCTGCCCGGCACAGAGAAGAAAATTGTCTCAGACTGTTGTTTCAAGGCTGAACAAAAACATCGAGTCTGGACCCGCGACTTTAAATCAGCTGAAAAGTCCTCCGAGCAGCGGCGAGCTTCAGTCTGCTGATGTTAAATCCCTGCAGAGTGTCGGCTTAGTGTCAGAGTTTGTTATCACATTATGACTCCAGAAATACAGATGAAAGAAATTTGGGCGTTCGCAGAGAGCAAAATATTTACCCTAAAACTTTTATCAAGACCAACATGTTTCCTTATCTGATGGCTACAAAGAAATGAATAAATGGACTGTGAAAAAACAAAATACATCTAAGCACACTACGATAAGAGTGAGTATTTTAGTTACTTTAGTACTGTAAATTTTAAGTATGAGTGTTTATCTTACAGTAAACTTTACATTGATGAAAGATCAAATAAAGATACTAAATTTAAACTGGCTACAAGCAGAGTTTAATGAGCTGACACAGGTAAATAAGACATTTTTCTAATTGTCATCAACAGTAAGACAGTGGAGCTGGAAAGGCTAGAAGAAACTAACAGGACGCTGACAGAAGAGCTGATGGATCTCCGCAGAACTTATCAGAAGGAGGTGAGAAGGAAGAGTTTAGGACTGACGTGGGTCAAAGCTCAGAGTTTACTGCATATAAATTTGAAACAAAAGGCTGAAGGTGTAATATTTGCGGTGCAAAGACTTAAAAAGTGTCTCTGAAAAGTCATGCAGAGACTGTATACAAAGGATGGACACAGCCACTGTGTTGTGAGGTCCTGTTTTGAACCATCGACTTTTTCAGGGTGGTCATCTTCATTCTTTGAAAGTAGATATCACAGGTGAGGGGGCAGTGAGGGGAAGCTGCACACTCATGACGTTAGTAACACTCAACAAGCTACTCATACTTTCCAAAACCTTCCATACTTTTAGTTCTCTTTATTGTGTAGCAGTTTACACATTTGCCAAATCTCTTTGGGGTTTGCGTCAGGAGGGGAATCTGCTGTAAGAAATCTGGATACAGTACGTTTTATTGAAATCGCTGGTAAATGTGCAGGTCTATATTTTGAATGTAAAACTATTTTAAAAGTAGTCGGCACTTTCTCTCCAGCCTGAGCTCCTTTGGTAATTTGTTCCACATTTGAGCAGCTTCACCATGTTTTTGATGAGTAGTTCAGGATGAGCCAAGCGGAGAGAGCTGCAGTGTTTGCACTGCGTCTGGAGATCTGATACGCGTCCTTACTGATGATTAGGATTTATGGAAAAAGCAAAAGTATTTTAAAATGATTCTCTGCTGTGATCTGAGAACTGTTAGATAAACACTGCTGAAGAAACAAACTCATATCAGGCCTCTGAAGCACTAAAGTAAATACTGCTGTCGGTAAAAGCAAACTGTCCATTGCATCATAACAAAAAGTACACAGTGCTTTATTAAACTAATTGAATTTAAATAAAATAATAAAGGAGGCAAGAAGTTTCCTGTGTGAAACTGTCCATGTGTTTGGACATTGCTGAGTGTGATCTTGCTTGGTATGCGCAAAGCCACAGGTTCAAATCATGAATAAGCTCACTCTGATGTTATAAAGACGCTGGACCCACGCGGCAAGAATTTTAATTACGTTAACATTTATTTAACAAAGTCAAACATTTCTGGCTTAAACAAGAAACTGCAAGACAATAAAAAAAGAACGTTGAGAGGCTCATGGGTTTTGTCAGTTATGTTGATTGTTTGTTTTTAATGATCTTCGGATAGTGTGTCACTTCGACTTATGAGATAGCCTTACTGCATTTCCTTTCATAAAGGATGAGCCAGTGTGTCTTGTGGTAAAGCAGGTAATAAAGGAAGCATCAGAGCAACATTCCTTAGTATGTATATAATCTGACCAGCTCTTATTATGGCTGCTATGCAGATACTCATGGGTCACTTCATTCAATTAGGAAAATTCATAAGCAAAATTGACTATAAACTGCACATCGAGCAAGTAAAGTAATTTCCTTATTGAGGTAAGAGCAGTCAAGCATTTGTACCTGAAAGGTGCAGCATGCAGGCAAAACAAGGAGGGCTCAGGACTATCACATATAACATCAAAATCCTCTATTCTTGGACCCTGAAAAGAACCACTGTCTAAAACAACCTATTAGCTGTACATGATGGGAGAAATCTCAGCAGAAGCACCGGGGGAGACATCCCTTCATCAAGGCAAATGCTGCTGGAAAAGAAAAAAAGTGTGAAATGCAAGACTTTGGCTAATGAGGAGGTTCAATAAAATCATCAGTTTAGTGATTGCAGTGCTGATTTTGTCCAGCAGATGTCAGGATCAGACACTTATTTAAACACTGCTTTGGCCTTTTTTTTGGGTTGAAACACAAATAAAACTGTTGATGAGTGACAGAGCTTTAATGAATTTGCCGTGAACGGGGATTATTTCTCTGTAGCCGGCTCCTCCAATCAGAAGTAATGGATTAACACTGTTTGTGCGATCTCAGGTTACTTCAGGTCAGTGTGGCAGAGTGCCAGCTGTGAATAATGATCTGCCGCTGGATTCCGAAAACCTCACGGTTCAAATTTATGTACTGTGTCCAAATTTTAAAAACTACAACCACCCAAGTGAGAGCACTAATTCAGATGTTGCTGGCATTGGTGTGTGTCGGTGTGTTGGTGTGTGTTGGGTTCAGGCATTAGCGGAACATTCCTCATTTATTTACACTCGGCTTCAAAGACTCACTCCCGCATTGGCGTCTGCTTCATCCAGTCCATCAAACAGCAAACAATCCAGGTCTACAATTATCTTTCCTTTGAGACATCTTCACAAGGCCAAGAGAAGAGAACAACAGACTGCAGAGTCAGTGAGAAACTTCATGAGAACAATTATTTGCAGGGGATAAGGCCTGTAAATTATTGTGAAAGGCCTGGGAGCAGAAGATTAAGTCTGACTCCACTGGACCCGCTCATCTTTCCACATGACATGTCGTCTTTTCCTGATTTATATTTACACGCCCCCATCATAATTTTCTAATTTTGTTGTCTTGGTCACATCCTGGTTTTGGGAGAAATATATTTATTTATTTGTTTTTTGTTTTTTTTTTGAGGTGAGGGAACTGCAGCAGGAAAATGAGGGAAGCCTGAGGAAACTTCAGGAGACGGCAGAGCAGTTCGAGTGGCTTTGTCAGCAACAGCGTTACTGGATGTCTTGTGTGAAGAGGTGAGTAGGGTTCTTTTTTTGTTTTGCTTTGTTTTTAAATATATCTCAGCTGTGTGTACCAAAAAACATAACAGGATCAGATTTTAAAGTCTTTATTGTCTGCACACATGCTCAAAGTTGATGTAAACGAAACCCTGAAAACCCCTTCTTAATATAAATAATGTGGTTCTGCATAGAAAATACATTTGTAAATGATTATTGGAAAGGAGACTTATCTACTTGCGTTTTTATCTAGCTGGAAGTGAGTAAAGTTCTGATTTCTTATAATATACAAAGCATCTACCAGAGTTAATGCATGTCAAATGTGATTAAAATAAACAAGCAAACTATTCCAGTTGTTTAACTGACTGTCATTTACTCAGACACAATTATTTTTTATTTGTATAGAAATACTTGATTTATTCTAAACAGTGATTAAAGGTACTTTTTGCAATTACCTTCTGCAAATGTCATTAAACATTTCACCACAAGATGGCAGTGTTTTACCAGAAAGTTACCAGAAAACACAACAAAAGTGTGATAGTAACAAGAATTCTTTAAAATGTTGCGTGAATACTGCTGTAATGGGTGTTTTTGGACTTAAATCAGATTAGACACTCAGTGCACCATCATGTGGATCAAAGTGGTATTACAAGAGAGCACAGCCCATCCTGATTTCTTGATATCACTGCAACACAATACAAAGACATCAATAGATGTAACATCATAGCTGTTTTTGAGAGATTTGGATGAATTTAAAAAGTTTTTAAACTATTTTTTAAGCATTAACATCTTTGATCTGTCTGTTTTTTGTGGCAGAGCTACAAAGCTACCTAAAATTCCCATGGTATGATTTGGCCTTGTTATGATGTTACTGGTAGCACTGTGTTAATATGAGCTACACATACTCACAATAAGCAGACACAGAGGGACCTAATTTACTTTGTAGTCTGCTTTCTACCCATCTTATTTACTTTAACTCCGTCTTCACCATCTTCTCTGGGGAAAAAAACTTCAAAATTCAATTCCCAACAAGCCTCTGACTGCATCTTTGTGCTGCCATGCAGGTTGGTTTGTCACAGCTGAAAACAGCTGTCTGCACCAGCTGGAAACAGCAGTGAGGGTGCACCACAGCACATAAGCTGCTACAGGTCGTAAAACTGAAACAACGTGCTTAAAGGTGCTAAAATGCATGCCAAATATCCTTGGGCAAGAAACTAACCCCATGTTTGCCTACTGGTGGTGGTCAGAGGGCCCGGTGGCGCCAGTGTCCGCCAGCCTCGCCTCTGTCAGTGCGCCCCAGGGCAGCTGTGGCTACAATGTAGCTTGCCATCGCCAGTGTGTGAATGTGTGTGTGAATGGGTGAATGACTGAATGTAGTGTGAAGTGCTTTGGGGTCCCTAGGACTAGAAAAGCGCTATACAAATGCAGGCCATTTACCATTTACCAAAATGTTACGGACAAGAGATGTGGAAAGAGTGTTGTAGCTTCCAAAAATGTCACAAAAACCTCTTTTTAATACTTTTATATGTCTCTTGTAATTAAAGAAAGACCAATAAGTTGAGATAGAGGTCTGACAGCTGAGTTTGCTAGAAATTAACTAAGTACTATAGTGTATGTGGGTAGGATACCACTCATCATCATGCATTTAGGTCACAGAAGTAACCATAAGTTTCTTTAAAAGTTAACTAACCAGCAATGTTTGTTCATCAGTCAGAAAGCTCTGCTAGAATCCCCGAAAGCCCTTCTAACACACTGGATGCTATTTTTAAAGCATCTCCCATGTTTCGCCTTTATAACTGAAACAAGAAACATTGCAACCTTAAGGAATCACTTAAAATCTGTTTTCGTGAGTCACTAGATCAACTTTATACAAAAAAATAGAGATTGATGATTCTTGAAGAAAGTTAAGTGCTTTCAAACATCTCCCCTCTGTGACCCAAATGTTTCCTGTTAGTGTCCCAGCCTTAGGCCCCAGAATTCCTCACATTAAACTCTCCAAAAGATTAATACAGATTTCATGTTGAGGATAAGTTGGATCGTATGACAGTCTGTCAAGGACAGGGTAAGAAACTGAATTGTATTGTTCTGTTGGTCTGGTGTTTACATCAGAGGAATTTTGACTGAGAGCGTAAATGTGCATTTTTTCCCCCTATCTTTTCACTTCAAATTGATACATTGATATATTACAAGCCCCGCTCCAGAAATTTCTAATGCAATCAGTACAGGTAGTGCACATAATTCATATTCTGGGCCCTGCTTATGCACATTGCATTAGACATATTGGCAAACTCGTATCCAAAGCAGCTAAAATTTAGAAAGCGCACGGGGGTTCAACATCTTGCTTTAGGACATTTTTACATGTGGATAGGAAAGTCTGGAAATCAACCCTACAATTTATAACCCCCTCCTCCAGCCAGGCTACATGCTGCTGGTGCTTCCTTTATAGATTAATTAGCAAATATTTAGAAACTCGTGGGATTATGTACGCTGTGCTTGAAGAGTTGCTGAGTTATCATATTCTACAGGTTCAAAGACTGCCTCATGGAGGAGAGAGAAGCTCTGCTGCGACAGGTCAGCAGGTTGGAAAAGAAAGCTGAGAAACTAAAGCGTTCACATGACGGCAGTCCAACACGGAGACTTGTCTGCCCCCTTCAGGACGCCGAGGGCTGTGACAGGTAGTGATAGATGAACAGATTTAATGAGGAACTAGTTCATTATTATCTGAGTGTCTTTTTCAACTTTTACTCACCTTATAACACATTTAAACTTCCTGTCTCTTAAAGCAGTATAATATCATGGGAGGCAGACACAGTGACCAACCTGGAGTCTCAGGTGGAGAAGTCAAACATGCTGTGCGAAGAGCTCCTCGACCAGGTATCACTTTAATTTTTTCTTCCTGAATGGTTTTCTTATCGAAATTTGCTGCAGAAGAAATCTTCTCACGGCAGCTTAAAGGTTACTCAAAATGTCTCCACGCCTGTTCGGTCTCGTGAAATCTCTGATGACACGTGGAAACCTTGGACGTGAAACATTAGACCTTCATTACAGTGCCAATATTCATTCGAGTATGGTTGCCAATCCCCAGAGGAGCTGCCGTGCTGTCAGTTCTTCCAGAAATTACAAGTGTGCTTTGGATAAACGTGTCTAACATCTCTGCTGTGGATCGTCTAAAGGGCACACTTTAAGGTACCTGTGTGGCTCTGTTACTTCTCATGTGTGGAGCACGGCGGTGATTATTTTCTGTAATAATGTTATGAGAAACTGAAGTTTCGTGGCAGCTCGAAGTTTCGAATGCTTGCTGGCTCTCTTCGCGTGTCACTGCAGCCCTCAGATGAACCTTTATTTTAAGAAATCTGGTGGTGATCTCAGGACTGAAATAGAAGACATGAAAAAAGAGAGCTAACATTCATCTGGATGTGACTGCCAGTCCCTGAAGGAATTGTCAAATATCCAGGAGACTCACAGAACCACAGTCTAATAATTGTTTTTTTCTTTTTTACTTTTTATGGTTGAGTAGTCTTCAAGTATTCAGTGAGTAACTGCTGCTCGTTCCCCAAATAACCAAGTTTACATACATACAGTTCTAGTGTCCTCTTCATGAAGAAACTGTGACAGTTGGCATAATATGTGCATGTAAATGTGTGCTTGTATTGTCACTTTTACCGACCTTTCTAATCTAATAATACACTGTAACTCAGCGTATTTCAACCCAAAGCTCCTTCCTTGAATCCTTGTATTGGGACCCTTGTGGGGGCAGTCAGATGTACTGCCTCCTAGGTCAACAATCTCTGCTTAAACACTTTTGTATGGAACTACAGAAAAAGGTCCAATTTAATCATATAGATGGAGTTCTTGTTGGCTGCTAAACGTAAAAGTAGGCTGTTTGAACAATCGGCTCGTGCTGTGCTTTCTTTGGGACACCTGAAACATCGGCTGTTTCCTTTGGCCTTAGAATTCACGAACCAGTCTGTAGTTTCCCCCCTTTTCCCCCCTCCAATGTCACCTCTATCTCTACAGCCATCTTTTCAGTGTTTCGAAATATTTGGATCAAAAACAAGAGCAGACTCGTGTTGAAATATTAGAAATCCAAACCATATTCATCTGGTCACAGCTGCCAGTCCGCTGTGGGCTCATTGCAGTGCCAGAGAGTTTTCCAAAAGACTCTGAACATTCATGTGCACTGAAGTATCATCAGTGTTTTTAAACATGGACACACGAGTCTGTACAGCAGACTGCATGCATATAGAAGGACTAAATAAGCCAAAAAAACAGAACATTGAAAAAATAACAATCTGGGTAAAAACTGGATTTACAAATATCTACTCAGCACATAAAGTGGAACCATTCAAAGTTTTAGAAAGTCACCCTGCAGGACTGCTTCCAATAATAACTGATGACAGTCGTTGACTTTTTAGGTCTTTGGAGAATCCAATAGTGAAACACATCTGAAAAAGTTGGGGTAGCATAACCAATGTAACAGATGAAAACCGATAGAAATAAATTAGTTATGATTATAGGCGGTATCTAAAAGATGGTGTAGGCACAGTGACCTCACCCACTGACTTCTGGATTTTTCCATTTTGAACCATCAGCTTTAGTGTTTTTGGTCACTGCCATGTTGTTTTTGTTGAAATGATGTTGTTGAACCATCTAAGCTATCTCCTTGTAACTTGCTCTTAAGATGGGAACCAGGTGTGCAACCACTTGCAATCAGTTGTTATCGTCAAACCGACTTTGAATGTAAATAGTTGGCAGCAGACTGTCTCACTGGTGTTTTATCACTGTCTTAACACACCAGAGTCCAGTAAGACCTCATAGATTTTGAAACAGAAATTCCTCCACAAATAGTGACATAGTTGATGCAGAGCGGCAATTTAACTGCAACACGGCACAGGTGCTTGGCACCCTTGTATTTATACAGGAATATAACCACAACACAACCAGTTGGTAACCAGTTTGGTCGAATATTGCAGACAAGTTGCATTCATTGACACAAACTCACTCAAACCTTCACCAGTCTGTCTCAGAGTGATTGTAGTCAGTCTGAGACAGACTGCAATTGCCTCCCACCAGGCAACCCGTGCAGTCGCCTTGCTATCGACAATAGTCACCTAGAGTCTGAAGATGATGCATTTCAACCTCTGGGCGATCTGTTGCCACATCTGCTTGAAAACTGGTCACAAAATGTGAAAAAATGCAATGCAATCACCAAACCAGTTGTTGGAAGGGAGTTCTTCTTTCCCACTACCTAATTTTTATGCACTGAAAGTTGCAGCTTAGTTTATGACATGTTCATTGCATATAGGATTTAATCAAAGTACCAGTTTAGATTGTGTTAGTAGTTTTTAATTCTTTGTATAACTGGGGCTTTTATTATTTTATTTATACACATCCATAGTATGCTACACTCAGAACTGAGTACACACAGTTTTCTGTTGTTGTTGCTGTGATGGCATTGATAGGGGCATCACATTTGCTGAATTTTCTGAAATGTCTTTGATGCAAATCACTGAAAAGCTGAATCGAAAGAGGAAACTTGTTCAGGAGGATTCATATGTCTGACGTGTTGTGTTTGTTAAAGTTTAACATTTTGAGAGATAAGCTTAATGGGTTTATTTTCAAGGCTTAGTTGAAAGAATTGAAGCCTCTTTCTATTAAATATGAAGCTGGAGCGAACAACTAGTTAGCTTAGCTTAGCATTCAGAACCGAAATACAAGGAAACAGTCTAGTTTTGTGCGCAGGTAGCATAATCTACCACTGGCTTTTCAGCTTACTTAGTATTGTGTTTTATATTGGTTGTTTAATCTATAAAATAAACAGTGTGAAAACAACAAATATGTCATTACTGGGACGTTTTCCATCACTCAGCAGATTCACCAGTGAGTCACTGCTCCAAGCCAAGAAAAGTCCTCTGCTTAATACCCATAAAACCAGAACGTTATGTTTTTCCAGTTTAGTTTTTCCAGTCTTTATGCTAAGCTAAACTAACCATATTTCTCCTGAGTGTATTCATTTGAAGAGCAGTGTGCAGATAGTAGCAGCCTTGGGATTGTTTGAAAGGATTCTGTAAGAGTGACCAGTGTAATGTTTTAAAATCTTTGGATAAAAGAAGAATGCACAACTCAAGAGCAAAACAGACATTCAAAACAGCGATAGTCATGCGAGGATGGCTGCCAGTCCCCTGTGGACTTGCAGAACAGCCAGAGCATTCATATAACAGATACTTCATGGGTACCAGAGTCTAATCAGTGTTTTGTTTTTCTGTCTGCAGCATGCTTTAAAAAGTTAGAGGGCTTTGAGGAACTTGAGGTTTCAAAGCCATTTTGCAATCAAATAGGAACCCCACGATGTCTCACAAAGAACTCCTTCAGGAAGAGCTCACAAATCCTGACAGGACCTCAAACACTTCATCCTCCTGCAGGATTTTTATAGTGGAAGGTGTCTGCCTGGCCACTTTGGGGATTTTTCAAAGCCCTCACATCTTCAGAATGACAAGTTCAGTGTTTTAAAAAATGGGGATAAGAGGAAGCCTGACAGACAGAACATAAGGCTAATAATCGTGTGCGGATGGCTGCCAGTCCCCCAGATGAGCTGCCAGGCTGCCAGAGACTTCAGAGGTGGCTGATATTTTTTGGGCTCCGGATTCACATCAGACCTTTTCACTGTCTGTCTGTCTGTCGGCTGCACATGGCTTCCTCCCAAGCCATTCGAGTCCTTTTCCAAAGCAGCAAAGAGATGACTAATAATGACTGGAGGGAGGTGATTGCCAATAGCCTCTGTGCTTCATTCCCCTCACCTCTCACAGACTCTGCAGTGCATTTCTTGGGATAATTATTCTGATTGAGTGCAGATGATGCAGAGTGGGGTTTTTTTGCAGTCCTTGCTGAGCTGAGAGAGGGAAGAAATTTAGCTGGAGGAGCAGGGAGCACCGGAGTCATAGAGGAAACAGCCATGAAAAAACACATTACCAGCTCTGACATGATTTATACAAATGGGAGATTCACATTGTGTAGACATAAGTATTGTTAGATGACAGAGAGAGAAAAGGAGGACGCTTACTGTTCATTGGGCTGACATCTGCAGAGATAGAGAGATGTGCTATTTCAGACAGAGTGGTGCTGCTGAAGTACAGGTGAATAAAAAAGTCTCAAATTCTTGACTAAATATCAGTGTGAATCTTCTTCTAGTGTTTAGATTAAGTAACTTATTGAAAGACCAATAAGTCTAACTCTGGTTCTCTGGGTAGTTTTGGAAATATAGGAGAAGATACTCTGCCTTTAAAAAAATAAAACCCTTTTAAATCAGAGTATGGCATCAACTCAGTTAAAATTCTGGGATATTGATCTGTTCAGTTGAATAACAGAGAGGATTGTTAATTAAATTCTGGTTCTTTTGTGTTAATTAAATTTACAACAGGTCCACTAGATGTGGAACAATGAGACAACCCCAAAACAGGAATGGTTTTACAGGTGGAGGCCACCGACCATTTTTTCCGATTGCTCAGTATCAATACGTCAATACATGCCATTGCAAGGTTGCTGTGTCTCCCAGCACAGTCTCAAGATCACAGAATATACCTGATACCATGTAGTCTGATTGGCATTTGCCACAGAATACTATAATTGGCAGGTCCAACACTAGTGCCCTGTGCTTTTCACAAATGAGGGCAGCTTCACCTTGAAGACATGTGACAGATTTGAAAGGACCTGGAGAAGCTGTGGAGAACGTTATGCTGCCTGTATCACCGTTCAGGGAGGGACCACGGAGGGATGCACTGACCTCTACAGACTCAGCAAGTGGCATCCTGACTGCCATTAAATATCGGGGTGAAATCCTTGGCCCCACTATCAGACCATAAACTGGTGCAGTGAGCCCTGGGCTTCCTCCCGATGTATGACAAAGCCCAACCTCATGAGGCAGAACTTTACAAGCAGATCCTGGAAGATGAAGGAATTGATACCACTGACCCCCACGCACATCTGACCTAAATCTAATAGAATGCCTCTGGGACATTATGCTTGTCCATCTGACGCACCAGATTGCACCTCAGACTATCAGGAGCTCAGTGATGCCCTGTCTAGATCTGGGAGGAGATCCCCTAGGACACCATAGGAACAAGTGCTGAGTGCCATTTTGAGTTTTGAATTAAATTACAAAGCAGACTAACCTGTTATATGTACAATTGCGTGTTTTGGAAAGCTGCAGAGAGCTTGCACTTTTTGCTATAATATATGCTGCTTGCAAGTAGATTTGCTTTTTACAATCGGTGTGGAGAATACACAGAGTTACGACAGTCACATTAACAGGAAAATACAGCTGGTTAAAATAGAAATATCCCTCAATCTCACTTTTAGCATTCATTTCCAGCCATCCTTTGACCTGTACTTACTTTCTTTGAGGTTTTTTCTCACTCTCAATTCCCTTCTTGTGCACTCTTATGTTTATTGTCTTTGGTCATCTTCACTTACATTTTATTTTTCTGCCCTCAGGCAGGGAGCCCTATCGACGGATACCAAAAACCTCCATGAGGACAGAAGCCTGGATGTCTTTGCTTTCTTTTCTCACCTTCTGCAAGCCAGGAGATGCAATATTTTATGTTTTTGTGGTTAGCTTACCTTCCAGTCATTGTTTTGAAAAACCAAACACCCTTGGAAAAACACACCCGTGAAACCACACACGCATTGTTTTGTTTCCACTATTGTTCATCGTGATATATGACCGAATTAAAATACAATGTGCTCCTGTCCCGCTTTTGGTGTCACACATGCACATCACATGTGCCTCGACTCTGTCTGGTCACATTTTTCAGTAATTGTCCATTGTTCAAACCTTGTAATCAACACCACTAACAAGAGCACAAGCACCTGCAAATGTTCTCTTTTGTTGTTTTGCCAATGAAACGTTGCAGGACAACCAGCAGCTGGCGTGCAGAGGAAGCAACAAATGTTCTTTCAACCAAAATGAAGCAATACTGATTATCCCCCCACTGGTACTGCTTGACTCTGATGAGCAGATCGCTTCATTCATCAGTTTGCATGTGGCTCAGATTAAACACGGTGACTCAGACGCTTTATCATATGTGAACCATATGATACATGCTTATTGCAAACGCAGTTTACACACGGTGAGCCAAGACATTTAAAGTATGCATTCTGTCACACCACAAACATTACACTGCAATCAACATGAGGAGCTACACGTTTATTCAGGACTGCAGCAAACTTTCAACATGCATAAAAAAATCTTAACAACACTAAACCATTAATGATACAGGAAGCATCATTATATTTCATCGGCGGTGCTGGGACAACATTTTTTGTTAGCATGACAGGGATTCGTTTGACAAACAGCGGACAAGATGTGTGATTTAAGTTTTGACTCCATGTTCAACAGGCTTTACACAA